AAYAATTGGTTTTTCAATTGCAAAAAATCACTTCAATTAAACTATACCAAACTTAATACGTAATGAATCAAAACATCCGTTCAACCAAAGTCCTACAGTTTTATCGATCGATATTATCATATTCTGAATTGTTGAAGGACCCTATCAATTCTTCATCAAACAAACTGACAAAAAGTATTAGGTTGAAAAAGCGTGCTTCGACTGATGCAAAGTAAAAACATCTTTATTTTTTTTTTTTAAATCGATCTTATGGAAGTTCTTAAATTTGTATAAAGTTTGTATAACTACTGTGTCATATCCATAAAATTATTTTAATATTTCAATCTAATGACTAAAATACATGTGGATGTGGGTGCGTAATAAATGTATGATCACCCGCAGCGATTGATGGGTTAGATAAACACATTGATAATCATTTACTGCACACAAAAATACCAAGCACAGTGACCGAAAGGACCGAAATAATTGCCTAAACAAAACTCCTTAAAAATGACACTTATGCAGAGGACTTGAGTATAATTTGAAAACCGTGATCATAATATTCATTAACTGTTCCACCTGCACTTACGGAAGAGCATCTATAACACATAAAAACGTAATCGTTAAATATAAATATTATCCATACATTTTCAAGATTACAATCACACGCAGACAACTTACCAAAATAACGTCTATTAATTTGCCTATACCTATTTTTCTCCTCACAACGCTTAAGAGACTAACTACAAACTACAAATAAAAAAAAACCGCCTGAAAAACTGCGTGTAGACAACACAACATTCGGGAAATCGAAAATTCCCATAAGTTAACTGTATGGTGGGTTTTGACTTTTTGAGTGTATTTCCGACTTCGTCCCGTAATGGATGTGTTCAATTTGAGTTAAATGAGATTAAAAAAAAAAATTGCATAGTATGATACCGTTTCCGAGCGAGTTAACTTTCATATTATTTTGTAAGGATATTATTTTATAACATCACAATATTGTTAGCRTGTCTTTTTCGATTTCCAGTTCGACACTTGTCGTAGATAAAATSGTAATAAATTAATAGTTTTGGAAAATATCGTTAAAGGACTGATTCTACAGATGAAAACGTAAAGAAAACTAAAAACCACGTGTATTATACGGAAAAACATTAGTATTAAAATTCATAATTATAATAATTATTATTATTGTAGTACGTCGTATGTCATCGATAAAATGACAGTGTTTGTGAATCATTAAAATTCAATCGCGCTAAACTGCTAAAGTATAGTAGGTGTTATATATTATACGATTGTTATTATGAATTAATATTGTTTACAACCTTTGCCGTTTACGAGTTTGAGAGCTTAAACTACTTAAATAATCAAACAATGTTTAAGTGCCCGCGAGCGTTATGGGTAGGCGAGAAATATCTTAAATCGCCGAAATACTTTGTGTACAGGTCTTAGGTGTTTTAGCACACCAGTATCGGTAAAGACGGGAAGACCTAATATCCTTTCTTATACCAACCTATGATGTAACATGTAAAACTAATTTGTTACTCTCGATAACGTAGATAGTTCAGAGTCCTACTTAAGAATTTTGGGACCCGAGGCTAATTTTTTAGTGAGGTCATTCAACTTTAAACATAAATTATGCGTTTTTGCTATAATGGTATTTTTTTAGATTCTGAACGAAGTGATGAATGTATTGATTTTACAATGATGTGTTTTTTT